GTCCTCATAAAGCCTCTGCCAGGGGCCCAGGGATAGGAGGAAGAGAGCCTGTGTCTGATCCTTTAGCCAGGGAAAGAACTCTTGCCTTCTGTCTATACTGAAGCACACCCAAAGACTCTTGGACCTGGAATTCTGGTTTGAATTTTAACTGTGACCTTTTTAGCAAGTTACTGAACTTCTCTGTGTCTCAGAATATCAGTGACAAGAACTAGAAGAATCAAGACCTGAGAAGTACCATAGAGCTTAATGGCAGCTTATAATTATTTTCATAAATGATTCCGAATTCAGTCTCCTCATTGTGCAGTTAAGGCCCACAGAAGGGAGAGGACTTAGACCAAGAACTGTACCTTTGTGCCACTGTGTTTTATTTGCTTGCTTGCTTGCTCGTTTTTAATGTCACCATGGTATCTGAACTCTTCCTTATCCAATTCCTCCAGAAATATCCAAAACACTGACAATAGGGCATTTCTTTGCCTGAATTATCTGGATATATTTTAGCTTCTGTTTCATAGGTGTAAGGAAGGAGTATTAAATGTGAGGATTCTGCACATTTCAGTGTTTTATGGCTGGTCTATGCCACTTCCTTGCTGAGTGACCTCAGGAAAACCTTTGCAATAGTCTGCTCTCAGTTACCTTGTCTTTAAAATGGGGCTAGTCGGGCCTCCCCTATTGGCACAGCGGTTGAGCACTGGGCTGCAAAGCTGCCCGCAGCCTCTGCAGTGCCGGTTCCATCCCTGGCCACTGGCGAGGGTCTCACATGGTGCGACAGACCTCTCCTGCCATGCCCACTGCTCCCCTCAGCAGTGTATTTTGTAGGTCTGCCTGTTCTGTTCCCCGCTCTGGCTCTGGTGAATTCTCTCACCCTCCTGTGACTTCTGACTGTACCCAGTGCTTGTATAAATTAATAAATAAATATTAAAAAAATAAAATAAAATGGGGATAGTCATGGAACCTAGCACATATTTCATGAGATAATACCCATAATGTGAGTTAGCAAGTATGTGTATCAGTCAGCTATTGCCACAATGGTGCTGCATAACAAATCATACTAGCACTCAGTGTTTTAAAACATTGATCATTTATTTTCACTCTTATATCTGCAGGTTGACTGGAAACCAGCTTGATTAGGTTGAGTCTAGCTGGCTTGACTTTAGGTCTACACTACATGCATTCATTTCCTTGTGGTGGTGATTGCTCAGGACAGGTTTTCACATGACATCAGACACGCAGGAGAGACAGGCAGAAATACACAAGGCTTCTTAAGGCTTAAGCTTGGACCTGGCACTCTGTCCCTTCCATCTGCACCCCATTGCCAAAGCAAGTTATATGGCCAACCCCAACACCTATGGGGTGGAGAAATAAACCTGTGCCTCATGGGAAGGACTAAAGTCACATGACAAAGGGTGTGGATGTAAGGAAGCAGAAGGACAGAGAACAATAATGCAAGCTGCTACAATATACAATAATTGCCAGCAGTTTTTAGAAGAGACCAGTGTTTGAGCCCAATAGCTTGAGAATTAATGTGCCCATTTACAGGTTTCAAAGTTTCCCTTTCTTCTATGTTTCCCTTTCTTCACAATGCTTTCAAGCAAGAATTAGAATTCCCATCTTACAGCCAGGGAACTGGAGTCCAGAACAGCAATGGCGCTTGCCCTATATCATTGCAGATGAAGAGTGTGGCAGAATACAGCCTGAATCTGGGTTCCCAACCTCAGCCCCGAATAGAATTGGGTCCATGACCTCATATGAAAAGTGATAATTCCCAGTGACCTTAGAATCAAATCATCAAGACTTATTCATTCATCCCATGTGATGGAGGTGAAGGAGCTAAGTAGAGCCCCAAGAATAAGCATCAGTGTAGTGAGCTGTGGGGGGTACTCTCACAATCTCTCACAGCAGAATTTCCAAATGCTTCCCAATGGGAACTTCAGGCAGAGAGAACTGGGTTCCAGTTCCACCTCAGTTCCCATTTGGCATTTGATCTTGGCTATGTGAATTGATTTCTCTAAATCCTGGTTCCATACCTGTAAAATGAGAATGGTAGTCACAGCTATTGCACAGAAAGATTGTGAGGACCTATTCATTCATTCATTCATTCACTCATTCAAGAGATATTTAAGCTACCATGTGCCTGACACTGTTGTAGATACCAGATGACTTTACTCACTTGTGGCTTATAAATAACCAGAAGAAACAAATTGCAGAACACAACAGAAATAATTCTCAAAATTCTGGTTATTACCAGAGGAAAGTGGGGAGAGTAGGAGAGGATGGATGAGGTAATGTGATCATATATTGGCACTGGGACATTGGTGGGGGGGTAAGTCAAGCATGTGGCCAAGTTAAGGTGTGAAGTTACACTCCTAATGTTATCCAGTTATGTAAATGAATGACAAGTCAGTTGCATTTAATTTTAAAAAGAAAAGTATTTACTGATCACCCACATGTGCCAGGCTCCGTGCCAGGCTCTGTTGGTGATAATGAGGAAGACAGGACTCCGCTTTCGGAGCGATTGGGACTGTGTTCAATGGAGCTAATCACATAAACAAGTTCATCCTGACACATCAGTGGGTGTAAATAAATTTTCCTCTTGAGATAACATATGTGCTTTTTGGAGACCTTGTGATTCAGTGCAGGTGGTGGGATTTTAGACAGAGTGGCAGGTCTGTAGGGGGAGGTATCTCTTGGCAGGGGGGCCCAAATCACATATTGTCTTGTAAACTCACTAATTTGCAGGCATCTACTGTCCTGGTGAGCGCTGGAGTCATGCCTGTCATTCTTCACTCAATTTCCAGTGCACTGCATCATGGTTGACAGGGAGTAGGTGATCAACAAATATTTATGCAATTGGGCCTTGCTGGTGGCTTAGGAGTTAAGTCCCAGCACTATCACCCCAACAGGCTGAGCTCAAGCCTGGCCAGGGAGCTAACCCACATATGGTGCAGCAGACCTCTCCTGTCTTGCCCACTGATCCCCTTAGCAATGTTTTTCAGTCAATCCACCTGTTCTGCTCCCCACTCTGTCTTTGGTGAATCCTCTCACCCCTGCACCTCTGGCCTACACCCCAGTTTTCTATGCAAAAAAAATAACAAATATTTATGCAATGAATAGATGGACAGTCACTCACCACTGGAGACATATCTTTCAACGTAAAATTAAGTGAAATATTTATTATTAGAATGTATTATTTATTGAAGATTAGATGTATTATTAAAATTAAAAAATCCACTTCCTCCGTCCACTTCCTCCATCCCCTAAACCACAGGCTTCCCACATGTAGCTACATTGGACACACCGATACAAGATCAGAGTCTCCATCTTGGCAGAAAGCTTGGTGATCTGGAAGAGCAGCTCTCAGTGGGAGCAATTTTACCCCTCAAGGGCATTTGACAATGTTTGGAGATGTTTTAGTTGCTACTGGTATCTAGTGGATGGAGACCGGGGATGCTGTTCAACACCCCACAATCCACAAGACAGCCCCCCCACTGCAGCTGGTTGTTGATAAGCCCTGTTCTGAATGATCTGTCATGGTGAAAGCTGGTCGTGAGGCTTCCCACCTGCAGTGGTTTATTTATGTGAGTCTGTGATGCTGCTTTTCACTCGGCAGCTCACATATGTACATCACTCAACAGTTTACCAAGTTATCCTGTGTAATTCTCCCAGCCCGGGGAGATGATTAAGGTGAGCATCATTCCTTCCTTATGTGGCAGAAAAAGCAAAGCTCAGAAACGTTATGTGTCTCAGAAGGGAGCGGAAATGGAAGTCAAAGGTTTAACTTACAGGGAGGTTGTTTTTGCTCAGTTAAGGAAGAATTTTCCAACCATCAGGGTTTTCTGAAAGTGAAAGGACTTTCTTCCCTTGAAGGTATTTTGTCTGGATTAGACCATGGATCTGTCTTGCTGATTCCCAAAGTACTGCATGGATTAGAAGCTCACCAGACCACAGGACAGCCTCTGCAACCAGAGAGTTCTGAGAAATCTGCATAACATATTCCCTTCTTGGGCCTTCACATCACACTTGACATAACCTGTCTCTTTGTTTTTGTTATTTTTTTTAGCCTAGCATTTCTCACTACCACTTGAATACACAGTACCATCCCCACACCATGATAGGAGCAAGCCATGCATAGCATATTTAGAACCAGAGTTCAAGGAAACACATTTTGGGAAAGGTTGCTGCATAGCATAGTCAGGCATGGGATGAAATATCAATCCCTCTGTCCCTTGGTTCTGTCTGTACTTCTGTTACTATCTGTGTGACCATGGGCAAGTCCTTACATTTGGGAAGAGTCATTTGGTGAATCTGGACCTGGAATAAATGACTTACCCAAGGCCACAGAGCTGTTGGGTTCATTCCAGAGCTTGGCAAGCACTTATTTATCATTTTCCTCTTTTGTGACTCTTGGGAGTTTGTTTGGTTCTATGTGGTGTCTTCCTCCCCAGGAGTCTGAATCAGATGCCATGTGCCCTAATCATCTGCCTGATGCCACATCCCTAAGGAAAATTACATCACCTGCCTTGTTTAGACTATATTACCATGGCAACCATGGTTGCTCTTGTTGTGTGGATGGAGTAGTGGGTGGGTGCTGGTTGATCTAAAAGCAAGGGCAGGCCCATGAGTTTCAGGCTGATAAAGACATGTGTGTCTTCCAGGTGGTAACCGGATGGGTGTATGTGTCAGCATGCAACAATGTGTTTCCAAGACACCTGGGGAAAAATACTTGTGAATAGAAGACCTTTTTTTAGCTTCCTTTCATTCCAATCAAGTGCCAACATAGAGATGATCTAGAATGCCTAAGTGTTGGGGGTAGGAGGTGCAAGGTAGAGAAGAAAGGGTCCAAGGGAGGGTCCTTAGAGAATAGGTAGATTGGATTTGGGGGTGCTGCATTTCCCAATGTCTTGCACCCACCTTATTACTTGTCTGAGAGATTTAGGGTTGCCCCATGGACACAGCATGAAATGACATGTAATCACACAGCAAGAAAGTAATTTTCTGTTCAATTCACTTTCCATCCTTCTGATTGTCAAGGAGTTGTGTCAGTTTGGGACTACTACATTTTTAGCACCTCTCAACACTTGCTAATATTCCCTTCTTAACCGAAGAGGGAGCAGGTGCCAGGCTCAGAGCCTGGGGCAGGTAGCAGGGGACAGCTGGCCTATAAGATGCTCCTCTGTTTCCATTGCGTCTATTTTTAAGTCAATCTTCTATTTCTGCACAGGCCACTCATGTCCCGTCTCCAATTGTGATAAAAGCTTCCTGTTTACCTAAATGTATTAAGTCAAAAAGCAAGTCAATTTCAGGAATGTGAATATAGGGAACCCATAAAGAAATAGATAAAAAACCATGATTGGTCTTCTGTGAGCAGCTGAGATTTAAAAAGCACGTTTGCAGGGAGATGTGGCTTTGGAGGCAGCAAGTCTGGTTAAGTGTCAGTTTGGTCCCTAGTTATGTTGCCTCAAGCAAGACTTTTTGACGCTGAGTCTTGGTTTTGTAGTCCATCAAGTGGGGGGTAGCAAATTACCTGTCTTATATGGTTGGTGTGAAACAATCATAGGAAGCACATAATGGCAATTCTCACTGTGCTTGTCTTGTGACTTAAATATCAATTTGTACACATGGTGCCATAAGGGTCCAAGATTTGGGGTGAAACATGGTCTTTCTTTTTTTTTAAATTCATGCATACAAGAACTGGGATGCAGGCCAGAGGTGAGGGGGTGAGAGGATTTACCAGAGACAGAGTGGGGACCAGAACAGGTAGAATGACTGAAATACACTGCTGAAGGGAGCAGCAGGCGAGACAGGAGAGGTCTGCTGTGCCATGTCAGCTCCCTGGCAGGAGATCGAACTCATGCTGCAGCGGCTGCACATAGCTTCATAGTCCTGAGACTTAACCCCTTGCACCACAAGGGAGGCCCTAAAAGATCTTCTTTCTGATCAACATTTTCATAGTACCATTTTTGGAAGACTCACTCTGTGCCAGGTGCATTCTAAGCTAGCCATGTATTGGCTCATTTAATATTCCTTTCCAGTGATTCAGCAAGGTAGAAGATATTATTATCCCACTTTATAAATGAGGAGCAGGGAGGCAAACTATAGTTTGAAGACCTGCAGTAATGTTTTGTTGATGATGAGAGTGATTGCACTAGTTAGGAGTCCTCTGGTTACCAGGGACATAAACCACACACCACTGTATCTCCATTATTCTTATAACTGGAAAATTGAATAGCATCAGGTCTAGCTGGATCCAGAAGCTTAAATAGTCTTATCTCCTCCTCCATTTCTTAGACCACCTTTCCTCTTGACAAGGTGACAAGGAGGCTGCCAGGAGCTCTGAGTTTTCGTTTACCTTCTTTAGCTACCACTAGCAAAGGAGGATCCCTTCTCAAAGACTTCAATAAAAGTTCCAGAATTGAGTGTCACCAGCTCTCACTGACTTAGTTTGGATAGATGCCTATCTGGGAATGAATCACCATGGCCAGGGGCATGAGATACTTTGATTGGCTAGAAGTGGAGCATAACCAATTCCCTGAAATTGAGTAGAAGCAACCTTTGCTTGAATCAGTTAGCCTGAGTGTAGAAAAGAAGATGATCCCTTGGAGAAGAATCTATTGTTCATATAACAATAGAGAATGGATCCTCAGCTGAGAAAATCATACCTTCTGTAACTCACTCAGTCTTCATTGAGAAGATTTATGGGTTAGGAACCTGCAGACTGGGGTTTCATCACTTCTCCCATTGGTTTGCTCTGTGACATTGGACAACCCCATAAACCCTAATGGGTCTCAGCATCTTCAGTGGTTACATGGGATGGTAAATTCTTGCCCACATGCCTCGAAGACTATTTTAAAGAGCACATGCAATAGTGTTATTTATAAATGTAATTAACTTTGCAGCTTTTTCCACTCTCCATGTTTTCTTTAAAAAACATACTTTAGTCTAAGTTATTCTGTTTGAATCCAAATGGCTAGTACCCCTCTCAAAATACTGACTTAGCCAGTTCCTGCTGGATTTTTAGGTCCCACACAAAAATAAAGTACCATACATTTGCTATGTACCCAATAAGCAGTTTCAAAGTGGGCAAGTGACATCTTACCAAGGTGTCTACCTGCCAAGATCCTCTGTGGCCAGAACTGTGCTGAGTATTTTGCATGTTCTGTGTCATTGAGTTGTCCTGACAGCTCTGTTGTGAATAATTTGAGCCAGGAAGGATAACACAGAACAAACAGTTTGGGGTCTGGAGAGCTGGGTTTAAAACCTGCTTCTTCTTCTAATAGCAGCAAGACCATGGCGCAAGTCACTTAACCTCTATGGACTTCACCTTCCTCATCTGTAAAATGGGAACAGCACAGAGGCCGTGTCATCAGGGTGTTGGGAGGATACAATGAGTTAATGCATGTAGGATGCTTGGCATCAAGCCTGGCACCTAGTGGGCACTAGCCCTAGTGGGCTTCAGGCCCAGTCCTGCCTGCTGCCAAGGCCCATATCAAACTGCCTTATGAAAGAAGCATGCCTCTTCGGGGGCCATCTAGGGACATTCTTTTGCTTCCAGCCATTCAGGGTCTCTGTCCCCTCCAGTCTCTCCAGATTTGCTCTATACACTCAGGCTACAAATTGCCTGCTGCAATGTCCTGAAATAACTCTGATTTTCTGGCCAGCCCCCCTCCCAGCCTCCCTCCTACCCAGCCCAGAATAGCCACATTCATCATGGCTCCAAAACAGACTGCAGGATGCTTCCTCCCCTTTGATAATAGCTCAGCCTTTTCTCAGTGCCAGTATAACCCAGGCCACGTTGCCTGGTACAGCCACAAAAAGGCTTAGGTTTGCTGTGTTGATATATAGAGACACCGCTTGATTTCACTTGCAAGGAGATATCACCGTTACACCTGGGTTGGGAGATAGGGGTTAGGAGACATAATATTATCTCACTTTGCCAGCGGTGAAACCAAAAAGCCAGTTACAGGTTCTTAGTCATGGTCTTATGTGATATTTCCATCCAGCTTTGCCTTTAAGCTGACCTCCCTTGTCTCACTTACAATGTCCTTTCTGTGATTTGTAAGATTTGGCAGACCTGGTTCCTGGCCATCTTTCTGACTTTATCTTATCCCTTTCTTCTTTCCCATTGTGCTTGGGTCCATTCCACCTGTCTTCAGTTTTCCAAACTCCCTAGTTCTTTCTCCCACCTCAGGGCCTTTGCATATGCTATTTTCTCTGCCTGGCATAATCTCACCCAGCCCTCCCTTGGTTATTTCCTTCTTACCATTCAGATTTCATGCAAGTGTTTCCTCCCTTCCTTTGTTGCACAAATTACAAATTATAATTACATTTATCTCGAAGAACACTCTAACTGCTTCTTTCATGTCTGACTCCTGGCTAGATTTTATAATCCATTATGGTAGAGACCCTGTCTTGTTCATGAAGTTTCTCCAGAGCCCAATCCAATGCCTGATCCATAGGAGAAGTTCAATAAATAATTTTCAAGGAGAGGAATATTGACAACAATACTATATAGTAACCATCATCACCCACATTCAACAGGTGATGAGACAGAGGTGCAGAGTATTGAAATATTTTGCAAGGTCACTGCTCAAGGGTAGACACAGAAGATAAAATAAAACTCAGGTCCCCAGACATTCAGCCCAGGGTTATTTCTACCTTTGACAGCTGTTTTTAGAACGTATTTTCTCCCAAGTGATGCCAGGAAGGACTCTACCCAGGATGTAGACTCTCTGAGCTGAATCTTGACTTCCATAGGCAATCACTAGAAAAGAAGGAGAGGGTGTTCTAAGCAGAGGCAACAGCAGACACAAGACGTGTAACTGCCTCATAGTAAGCAGTGAGCATACAACAAATGTTTTCTTGGACTTATTCACTCATTCATTCATTCATCTGTTCCCTATTTACTTGAGATAGACTATGTGCTAGTCATTTTGGGAGGACAATAAATATATAAGGAAGTAATGCGAGATGCAAAAAAATGCATAGGTAAGTAATTCAACATGCTAATAATACCAGTTAATCTTGAATTGATATCATGTCCCAGACACTGTATTAAGTGCCTTTCATATACTGTCTCATGTTTAACCACCATGATGATGAGGTCAATATTCCCTGCCACTCATATGGGAATTGTCCCCATTTTACATAGTGATCGGGGGAGGCTTAAAGAAATTAAATGACTTTGTCATATCATTCACTCCTTAGGTGGAAAAGCTAGAATTGGAGCCTAAAGAGCTTGAGTCAAAAACCCAAATTCGTAAACCCTTGATCACCTCGCCCTTTTATAGCTCCCCTATGGGAAGTGTCCATCATAATGTAGATTTCCAGAAATAATGACTTGAGCATTCCTCAGAACTTAAGTATAAGCTGTTGTCAGAATATCTCTTCCCACCTTTCTGATACTCTCCAGAGTTGGAGACCAGCCAGCCACTCCCTCTTCCCTGGAGCACATTCTCCAGCTCCATGCCTCTGCCTCACCCTTACATTTTTCTTCCCTTAACACCCTTCATCTTCTCCCTGCCCATGGCTGCCAAATTCAGTGCCATCCACTCCACCTGCAGCTGTCTCTGATACTCAACTACCTCTCTAGTTGAGAGGGCTGTGATCGATTTTTCCCCTGAGCAGAACCAGACATGGAAAAAGTCACCTTCAGATCCTGCAATTACCTCACTCTAGATTTTAGGTATTGGGGTGAAGACACCTCTGCCCGGCTCTCTTCTGTGCCCGGGCATGTGAATAACAGAGAAGCATTTCAGGGCCTCCAGGGCCATCCTCAGCCCTGAAATCATCCTTGTTTCGGTTTTGGCTTTAAGAAATATTTATTCTACCAGTTACATGTCCCCTTCTAAACCCACTCCTCAAGACTTCGACTTCATACTCTCCCTTGCCAACTCTGTTGAAAAGACCCAGAAGGATGTTTGTTCACTCATTCATTCATCTATTCACTCATTCATTCATTGTGACAGACACTGAGCTAAACTCTGGTGCAACAATGAACCCACCAGACATAGACACCAATAAGAACTTACTTTCTCTCTCCTTCAGTGATGGGGCAGCAGAAGAGGGACATTTATTAAGGGCTTTGTGGAGACAGGGAAGACTTTGAGAGGAAGTAATGATGAAGATGAAACTTGAGGCATAGCAGGACTTGACCAAGAAAGAGGAAAGGAGTGGTGAAAACTTTCCCCACTGTGTGAAAAGACTGACATGAGAAAGGGCCTGGTTTACCTAGGAGAATGCCACCCTGGCTAGACTATGGGGTGTAAGTCAGGAGCTGAAGCAGGAAGGGATCAGATCCTGCTGAGCGCCATAAAGGCATGATCTTATGTTAATGATAATGGGAAGACACAGACAGTTTTAGATGCCTTCTTTGTGTCCCATGTCAATGCTAACTTGGGTCTTGACACCTCTATTGTATCTTTCTCCCAGGAGATCTTTACTCAATACTAGCTCAGATATAAGCAGCCCATAGCTGGTCAGATTCCAGGACTGAAGTATCCAGCAACACTGGGGGAAAGAGAGAGGGTGCAAGGTCCTTCCATGCTGGGGATTTGAGGGAGATTTGAGCTGACTGGCTAAGTCAGTTCTCAGCTTGATGCCAATCCAGAGAGTGGAAGTAACCCCAGAGTAGGCAAAATCTAGGCACTGCTCCTGACTGCCATGTGACTCTGTGTGAATTTAGCTCACTTTATTAACCTTGGCTTCTCCACCAATAAAATGAAGTGATTGTAGGGCCCTTTCAGCTTTGACATTCTGTGAATTTAGTGGGTATCAAGGGGGATAAAATCTGAGGTGATTGGGACCAATGAAACATCTTGCATATTGGTTCAGGTGGTAAAAACCCCCTTTCCTTTAGAATTAACCACTTAAGGTACAGATAGACAAAGAGGAAAAACAAAATTGCAAATTGCAAAATTCCCAGGAGAATCATGGATCCAAAGGAAAAATGGCCATTGATTTAACACTCCAATCCCACACTGTTGAACACTCATGGGCAGATCCATGCACACATTCTCTCACATCTCCACTACATAGATAACATATATGTGTGCATTCACAGACATGCTCTCTCACATGCAATCTTATACAAACTCCTTTAGGATCATTCTGTGCCTTAAATATCCTCAGTTCAACCAAGTTTCAGTGGAGAGTAAGGGAGACTTAACTGAATGAGAATTAGTTGACTTTCTCCATGTATCGTATACTACTTCCTTGACTGAAATCCTCCCCAAGCATGGTTCAAAGGAACATAATAATGAGGATAAATATTTCAGTTCCATCACACTCAACTTCCCATCCCATCGTAAACCTTGGAGAACTATTCCCATATGCTGAATCCTCCACATTCCACATTCTAGGTCTTCCCATATCCTGAAGGACATACCTCCAGGGACAGGCTTCTGGAACGAGATCAGCTCAATCTTGTTCTTATTATACATCTTATCAACTTTAACTGAGTGTATTAGATGGGAGAAAGAAACGTAACTTTCCCCTGCCAATCAAATCCTGGTCACTGACTAGTTTGCTTTTATAAGGAAATCTTGTACTCCATCACTTCATTTCCTCTGCTTTTCTTTTATGATACCCTACTTCGTGGTTTATCTGAGCATGCCTACTTTCTCCTACACTTCTTAATGTAAAGTTAGTGTGTGTGTGTGCAGGTGTGCACGTATGCACAGGAACACAAAGCAGCATTTGTGGCAGGACTGTGTGTTCAGTGGCAGAAAAGTCCTTGAAGGTTGGAGAAATGAATAATGGAAGGAAAACAATCGCCACCTTGTCAAACCCCAGACTGAAAATTCTTCAAGATGGACTCAAAAATAGCAGTGCTTCCTGCATGTTAATTAACTTGTTCCAAAGGTGGGGGCAGAGTGTCCTTGAGATGTGAAGACTAGGAAAGAAAAAAAAAAAAGTGTCTCTCTGTGTGTGCACTTGGGCATGTGGGCAGAACTTCCGCTCAGACCCAGGGGCTTGGCTGATTCATGTCCCTGAGAGCCTGACAGAGGTTCAGCACCGAGGACAGCGGCCGCTGATTAAACCTCTAAGGCTGTGGGGAATCCAACCATGAAGCTACCTGGAGGCAATACAAGCCACCCTTATCTACTGAACCTACTAGTTACATCATCTTTTTAGGTTTTATGGGAAATGTGTGTTCCTTCAAAACTTCATGTAAATCTGTATTTTATAGTGTGATAAATTCAGAAACATCTTTCTTTTTAATTCCCTAGAAGTTTTCCAGGAGAATGGGATGGAGAACTTGAAGTTTTGGCTCCCTGATTTCTAAAAAGATAGGTGTGTCCAGAGATGGTGTAACTTATAGTTAGGAGTATAATAGGACTATGTCAAGGTTTCTTGGCATTTGTAGCAATGGGGGGGGAGTCGGGGCACAGATCATTCTTTGAGAAATGGCACTGTCCATTGTAGCATGTTTGCAGCATATCTGACCTCTTCCCAGAAATGCCTGTTATACTTCCCCAGTCTTGACTAACAAAGGTGTCTCCAGAGATTGTCAAATGCTTCTGGGGTGGGGGAGGGCAAAATCTCTGACCTTCATTGAGGACCTGTGGACTAGATGAGTCGGGACTTGAATCCTGATCCTGTGATTTGTTAATGTCCCTGGGCTGTTGACTTGCCAGCTTCCTATTCAGGAATCTACTTTCTCATATGCAAACTGAAGACATTAACATTTGCCTTATTGAGTTTGTGTGGGAACTGAATAAAATACTGCTTTTCAACTTATTTGTGGTGGGTACATAGTAGTAAGTCATTAACAGATGCTAGCATCAATAAGGTGGCTGCCATCATCTTCATCATTATCATCATCATCTTCATCATCTTCTCAACCATTTAACTGCAGAGATTATGCTGTCCTATTTCTAAATAATTCATTCCAAAACCATTACTAGTGTCCACTAGATATTTGGCACTTTGCTAGGCAATGGATGTCAAAGATGAACAAGATATAGTCTCTTTCCCCAAAGCACTAGAAGTCTTGGATTTGACCTCATGGTCACAGATGTATATGAATTTCATATCACTGTATACTTTGTAGTTTATCCTGCACGTATCAATAAGGATGGGTTTGGTTGTGCTGCACTATAAATCAACCCCCAGATGCCAGGGGTTTAAAACAACATGCACACATTACAAGTCCACCATGGCTAGATAGGAATCTCTGTTCCTGTTTCCTGTTGTCCTCACTCAAGGACCCAGACCGAGTGAAACTCTACCATCTTGAATGTTTGTAGTTACTAGAGCTTGGGGAAAGTGGGAGCAGAGAGAAACACTTACCTTTGAAGGCATATATTCAGAAGTTATACACATCATTCCTTTCATACTTCATTATGCAACACAAGTCATAGCATCATATCTACATCCAAGGGAAAAGGTAAGTGCCTGGAAGAAGTAGGATATTAATTAACAGCTATTAACTACCATACTACCATTTCACAAGTGCTAGACATTGGTCTGTTGGGGGATATTATGAGTCAGAGTGAAAGATTGTACAACCCTTCCCACCAACAGAAATAACGTAGTAGTTCCATCTTACTGGTGGCAAATAAGGAATATCATGTCATGCCAAACATGGCTTCATGCTTTCTTGACATGAAGAATAGGGGGTTGGAGAGAAATACACACACACACACACACACACACACAGAGAGAGAGAGAGAGAGAGAGAGAGAAAAGAGAGAGAGAAATTAATGAAAGCCAGGGGTCTGACCCCCCAAATCCATTCCCAAGCCACAACATCAGATCCCCAGTATTTAACATGTGATGATAATACTGGGTTGAGTGCTTAAAACATCACAAGAAGAGCTCATACTTTTCAAAAGAAAACAAGAAGCAAAACAATACCCTCACATCTGGTTGTTCTGATTATCTTCCCAAAATAATTAACAAGGAAATTTGAATGGGAGCAGGGCGAGACCAACTCCATTGATTTATAGCTCAAATAGGGATAATCCACATCAAGGCTCCATTGGCCATTTCATTTTGACTTCCAAAGGCTCCATTATTAATTCATTTCTAAAGTGATCGTTCTCACTCCCAAGGGGTGTATCTCGCTAAACTACGTGCTTACAAAACTCTATTTGATTAAAATTTAACAAGCTATGTTATTGGCAAATAAACTATTTATTTCAGTGCTGTTGCCAATGCCAAAAGGAATGTTTCAAACAAAGGAATGGAATTGACACACTAAAGAGATTGTCATTAATAATTGACAATAGCCAAAATGTAAGTATATGCATATATATTTCTTCAGTGATGGCATTAGGGTATAACAAGCGAAAGGAGTCAGTCAAAGACCTCTGGTTCCTACTTATTAAAAGGGGTAAAACCAAGAAAATGAAGTTAGTTTGTCTTAGGGTGGCGTAGTAGAAAGAGCATTTTAAAAATTAGCCAGAGCCTTATCGTTACCTTTCTGTGCAACCTTAGGGAAGCCACTTAACCTCCCAGAGCTGTTTCCTCTTTTTCAAAATGAGACTGAAAAAACTTTGCTTATTTAAAACTTAGAGTTTTGTCAAGATAAAATGAGAGAAAATGCATCAATATGCTTTGGAAATGCAGAAAGTGTTTTATAAATATCAGAATTATAGCAATAAGGGCTTATCTAGCTTATCTATTTTATTTCTCAAACCATGCACTGATTTTCCCAGTAGAAACTTGGGAAAAGACTGTTCTCTTGTGTTTCTCTGTGTCTTTGGGGAGTTTATAGTCCCAGAAAATCCCCAAACGAAGTTTGGCTTCAGCTGATGACATTGATTTAAGTAAATTGCCCCATCGACCCTCATATCCCAGCTTCACTGCTAACAGTAATAGTTACGGTTTGTTTAGTGTTTACTTAATAAACACCAGGAATCGTGCCAGCCTCTTTATGTACAGTATGTATTA